ATAAAAATTTATAAAAAAAAATGTTTTTTTTATTTTTAAAAAAAAACCTACGTTTTTTATTTTTGAATCTTTCACGAACGCTTTTTAGCTTTTTGGGAATAAAAAACGGAAAAGCGTTTTTTAAAAGATTTATTGGTCTCAATAGATCCTTTTTGATAGTTTATTAATCTACGACTATTTTTAGAGTAATTGCGTGTAATTGCGTTCTTTTCTAAATGTTTTCTCCTCTAAATCGAATATCAAAAATCTGGCTCTATTAGCCTCGAGCCACATGTGTTTTCGTCATTTTAAGATCACGAGCTTTCCACAGTGTTTCCTTTACGAGAAATCTTGCATCTACGAAATGTTGGGAATGTCAACGTCGCTTTTAAAATACGTTGACGCCATTGCATGGTATAAGGGATGGACCGTTACTGTAACGGTAACGGGTTTGTGTTACCGTTACAGTAATGGATAGAGATTTAGGCGTGATGACCTATGAGTGTCAAAATATCGGAATGAGGCTCATCGCGATGGAAAAAGTGTAGTTGTGTAACAAAAGGATACAACAAGAACAAAACGCCTTTAAAAATAAGATATGTACAGTTCATACCGATAAGACACAATTTTATTAGTTACCTTTTGTATTTTTTATTTTGTCTTGAAAATGGCAATTCAACTGCCTAAACCTTGACAATAATAAAAAATCTTGGACTTCAAAGTGTAAGTGGATAACATCCCATATTTTTATCGTGGTGGTATGTATATATCTATGGTATATATCTAAACAGAAAACTGGTTCACCTTTGTGATAAAAACATTACTTTGTCACAGATAATATGTAGAGAAATATTCATCTGGCATTCTTACTAAATCTTACCGAAATGTTATATAGATTTGAACTAGTTGTATTGCTCATACCTTATATAAAAATCCTGTTGAGAGTCCTACTAGAGACTACGAATATCGGATCCTTATATAAGAATCTAATAAATATTCTACGCATTTGGGCGAATGGAATTTGTAACGTACCGTTTTGATTGAAATTTTTTTAAAAAATGAAGTTATTCTATAAATCTTTTTGCAGTCACTAGTAGTGAGCCTTAGGATCTCAAAAATCTAGGTTTTCTCACTACCACTGTCTCATGGACTAGAGGGATTTTCTCTGCAAAAAACTAAAGTTTGTTCAAATACGCTTAAGGTATGGTTACCATTAGAAAATTAGATGGAAACTCCACGCCGGACCAAACATGATGAAACTAAGATGATACAAGTAGAATTTCAAGGCAAATCCGATAGCAATCTTCTCTTAATTTCATTCTGAGTTCTGATGGTAGCATCACAGACTTCGCGATTTCCATCATCTGTTATGTATAGCATATTGCAGTTTATGTTTCAAATACAAAAGTTATTCTGACAATTTTCTCTATTCGCAGCACAATGATACCTCATTGATGATAATTTGAGAGAAAATCTTTTATCTTCTGACATCAGTATGTTCTATGTGGATTTTTTGTTCCTTGGGACAAAACCGAAAGAACGAGATATGCGATCCTTTTGTTAAAAATTTTTTTTTTCTGTGAAAAAGGTTATATGAATAATTGTGTTTGTTAGAGGAAAGTATGAAAAATGGCACAGACGATATTTTCCTGTTAAAAGTTGAGTTGATCACTGCTTTTGCCTGATTCGAACTTTGGAGTGTAGAAAAGAAATGAAAACTTAGAATAAATTTTGTTCTATTTGTGTTGCCTACCTATATAGACGCCAAAAAGTGCATGCAAAAAGAAAGGAAAAAAGACGACAGAATGGAAAGAATAAAAACTAAAATAAAATTTTTCTCGTCATTCCCTTGTCTCCACATGACTCGTACTGAGTTTTGCAAAGCTTAGCGCACACTATGGATTGCTGGATCCTGATGAAATTTTCAGAGATCATTTATCTTCAAGTTTAGTTATGCTGAAAATTTCAGCTTTTTAGCTGGTGTCTCTCCAAAGTAGGTATACACCAGTTCCAGTTCAGTTAGTTGGAACTGTTGAGAACTGGGGCTGTTGACTGTTCAAAAGAAATTTTCTATCTAATTAGATCGAAAGGCACATCACTAGATGCAGTTTTTCACCCTGACTACGAAAATCAATTTTAAAATTTATAAAAATTCAACCTTCAACGTAAAAATTTAAATTTAAAATTCTAAAATTTTGTAATTTCGATTTTCTCACCTAAACATTTTCTCGAAAAAAATTCAAAACTATACTGATTGATAGAGTATTCAATTCTCTACAAAATGGCCTATTTTTTCCAACTTCCGATGCTTAAAACAGGTTTGCCAAAAAAGTCAAAAGAGTTTTCTTGCTTTCCAATGACGATTGGTTTTGATTTGATACAAGAGCTATTTTTTCTTTCTCTATTGAATCTTTACCTGGTTCTTCTTAATGTTTCTAGATAGAAGATGGATTCAAATAAACATTTATAGTAAACAACTAATTCACTTATATTTTAGCAACTATTATACACAAAATAAGTGTCGGTTTTGTTAGTAAATCGTTATTTTTTACCGCACTGTACAGCCGATAGCCCTGAAATATTTAGTGTATACTGTACTTTTGCAGATTGATCAATATTGAAAATTTCAGTAAAATCAGTTGTAATAAAGACGAGTTATATATGCTCTGCGCCTTTTATGCATTTGGAGTTAACTTGCCAAACGTCACCATATCTACATACAAGATCAAACTGCTTACGGGACACAGTTTGTCATATTTTCTTGCTTCTCATTTCTCTGGTTACATATTCGGATAAAACGCATCTTAAGAAACTTTAAAAAAAAAATGTTTTATACCGAGTAGTTTTGACGTTGCAAAATGGCAAAGAGTCACGCCACCGTAACTTTTACATAGGTATAAACGATATATATTTTTAAACTGATTTTAAACAGTATGAACATTCTAAATGCGATATTTTTTCCACTTAGTATACTAACTAATAACATCTATCAGCTACTTGGAAAAAGATTTCCAGATTTATACAACGCGAAGTGGCCGAGTTATAGACTTGACCACAAAATTAGAGCAAACGGTACATTACTGATGCCATTTACTCATTTCTATTAACTATCCTATTGAAAATTTCATAAGATTTTTTCCAGATATTTTATGAGATTCCTATAGAATTTTTGTATATAAGATTTATTCTCTAGGGAATGAGACAAACTGGGCAAGATTTTTGAGAAATACAAAATGTTAAAAAAGAAACTTTATTCGATGATATCAAAACACTAGATAACAATCTATACATATGATATCATATACTGTTTCTCATCAATCATAATCTACCTTATATAATGTGTAATACTATTTCATTTATTTTTTAAAAGTCAAAAGATACTTTACAGAAATTTATAGGAAAATACAAATGTTTTGATTTTATTCTGACACACTTTAAACAGATAATTCGTATAAAAAATACTTCTTTATTTTTTTTCAATATGTTTGCGATCTCTTATATTAATTTAAATAATATTGTAAAAGCCTAAAGTTTTAATTTAGTAAATTCAGAGATAAAAGTTTTACATAAGCAAAACAGACAGATCTTTGCGATATAAAAGATAGATATTAATTAAGATTATCGCAGCAACATATAACGATCCATGCATGAATAACACCTGGCACCTAAAATATAGAAATGATAAATACGAATAGAATGTTGAAAATAAAGATAGATAATCTTACCCAGCCTAACAGTGTTAAAAGTATATTAATACAAACCATACAACTACATATTTTATTACGTGCAATCCAAACTGCTAATGGTGGCAAAACGATAGATATTAAACATAATAATAATTGTGCACATACACCAGCCATGTATTTATCGATTAAAAAATCTTTTCTCTGTCTTAGCTTGTCAGAATCTTGAAATATGAGTCAAATCGCTAAAAAAAGTATGATGCACGTTATATTTTTCTCTTATAATTTTTTTCGTTAACCTTATCGTCCTTATTCATAATTACAATTTTCTCGTTTCTACCATTTTCTCTTCCATTCTACAAACAGCTTTTTTTTCTTTTTATATCGGTTGAAAATATATCAGATGGAAAGAAAAATGGATATGACTAACAGTAAAGTTTAAGTTTGTATTTTTTTTTTGAGGGAAAACATTAGATAAAAATATATTCCATTTTGAGCTTTGAGAAATTCATTCTACCTGGAAGGGATCTCAGGAAGTCGAAAACGTCGACAAATTTTTTGTTAAACAGATACTGCCATTCGACGGAACTCCTCAAACTGACTAAAAGTACCAAAAGGTTTTCACGAACGTTCCTTGGTGGCTGAGCTACAGGTACAAACCTTCTTGTTGCAAATCACCGAGCAGGTTAAAACGAGAACGTTTCTGTTTTTTGGAGAACGCGGTACTTTTAGGTAAAAAAGTTAACGCATGAAGAGCTAACGCGGAATAAGAAGTTAACACTTGTAGAATGAACACAAACCATGTGTATTGATGATTAGGCATTACACAAACTTTACAGTTACAACTTTTATAAATATGTTAATTCTACAAGTGTTACCTTATTCCGCGTTAGCTCTTCATGCGTTCTCTAGTCAATCTAAAAAATATTGCGTTCTCCAAACGTTCTCTTTTAGATTCTTGTCTACTGCATATCTCTGCTTTCAATTGGCATAAACATGGCACAGTTTTTTCGATTCTTTCTTTTATTATCTGAGTCGATGTTATTTTAAATATCGGAATAGAAAAATGAGTGAATAATCTGGGCACAATAAAGACATGCTTAATTTTTGGTGCTTTTCTCTCCTAATAAATTATATAAATTTTCTACAAACGTGCGTCATATCTGGTACAAATAGCCGAGATTTTAAATTTATTAATGAGTAAGAATTTTAGAATTATCAAGTTTTAACTCTTATTTATAATAGTACCAAAAAGCACAAGTTTCATGAGCAAGAAAATTCCCCCTCTGAAAAGTGTAGTTTGAGATGAATTTTACCATGTTTTACTCGGCTTTCTCGTCAGGAACATGGTGCAATTGATTTCAGGTTCTACTAGAGATTCAGCTCAAAATAAGTGAATACACAACAGTTTTACTGTCTCTCTTTCAATTGTTGTGTGAGATTACTTACTCTGAGGTTATCATTCCACTATAACAACCGCTAGTTATTCTAAAAACTTAAAATGTGCAGTAATAACTATTAGGACCAGTATTAACAAGTACCACTAAGCACCGGTGCCAGTACTGATCAGTGTGAGGACTCATCACTACTAGTACTTACTGATAACAGTAAACCAGTACAGTACCGGCCCATGTCTAAACAGATGTACCCAGAAACTATGGAAATACTTTTCGTGCGTGCAAGTCAGCAAGTGGGAAAAAGTCTGTTCTTATTAACCACATTGACTCTATGCATCTTATATAAAAATATGCAACCTTCAGTAAAATAATTTTTTTAGTACAGATACGCATCGATGACTTTCAATGAGTCGTTTGATAATTTCAACCCTGGAAATGCTGAATTTTTTTATATTAATCTGGAAAAAAAACTCATATGATCTCACCCTAAAAAATGTATTTAACTTGGTCTGAAAACCACTGCGCTACGAGCAGTAGATCGAAGAAAAGCATCTTTATGCTGTTTTTTAAATTACAAAAAAATAACGTTTTTTATTATCAGATTCGTAAGATGCATATCTGCGTGTTGCTCGAATGAGAAGAAAACGTGTATCATATAAGAAACGTTTTCTGGTATATACGGAAGTATATAATATTTGATATGCTGCACAGAACATGTGAAAAGACAAAAGTACAATTTTGTTTTTCAGTGAAGTCACGCATATATATATCATTTTATTCAGTTTTTCAGTGGGTATTTTTCTATATCAAATACAAGTCGGATCTTTGTTTTTATATGGAGGAAAAAGTACTTAGAACATCGCTGATGTCGTCTTTTTAAGTGCAATTTGCCTCTTGTAGAAACTATAAGTGACTCGTCAGCCAATGATGGTTAAAGGTTCTTTATAAAAAATTTTGTAGAGCAGATCAAGGGCTATCTTTCTATATCAAATACAAGTTGCATCCTTGTTTGCAAATGGCGAAACAAATACTTAAAACATCCGTGATACCGAGTTTCATGTCAATTCGTCTGTTGTAAAAATAATTTCTTCGTATTGAAATGATGTATACGGATTGTTCATAGAGTATTTTATTCAGTCTTTCGCTAACTATCTTTTCATACCAAGGTTTGTGGGAAACATATGCTGGATTTTTCAAGAATGTTACTTTTTCTAAGAACGACGTTCTCTGATGGAATCAGTCTACAGTCGTAAATTATAGACCTCAATTGTTCCCGCCTAGCTAATCACATCTCGATCGGAATTCGTTTATCTACAGTATTTCACGTTTTTGTATAAACTTTTTATTGATAATTTAACAGAAGAACATAAGCAAATTATTTCGTGCTATCGGACGCAGAGTACCCATTGTAAGCAACATAAAAAATGATAAATTCCAATGTTCAAATAATAATAGCAAGTGAAAACAGAGAATAAAATGAAAGTAGTTAGAAAAGACATTTTTCACTATTTAACACAGTTTAAAGCACGCCTAAATACAAAAGAGAAAATAACAATATAAGCATGTATGCGTAAGAAATGAAAAATTGATAAAGAAGGAGAGAAAGAAGTAATGTTTTGGAGTTGTTTCATTTCTTCTTCAATGAATACCGAAGCCAG